ATATTTCTATATATAGACATTTTCACAGCCTCTTTAATATTCTCTGGTATGGTATAAATTTTTCTAATTTTTTTTTCTTTGTTTTTTGGGACAGAATCTTGCTATGTAGTTTTGGCTGGCTTTGAACTCACTATGTAGCCTAGGCTGGCTTCAAATTCCACGTGACCCTCCTGCTTCAGCCTCCCAAGTGCTGGCATTACAAGCACACGTCACCACTCCTGGCTCATAATGACACATTGGGCAAGAACAGATTGCACATACATTGGTGGTCCTATGAGATTATAATGCAACTGAAAAATTCCTATAGCTGAATGATATTGTAGCCACTGTAATGTCACAATGTAACTCATTCCTGGATTGTAGTGATTCTGGTGTCAACAAACCTACTGTACATTTAACAGTCATATGAAAGTATAGTACATACAATTATGTATAAGACATAATATTTAACAATAATAAATAAATGTGTTGCTGGTCTATACTATCATTACACAGCATACTGTGATTTTCCCCATATTTCCTGGGTTATCTTTTTCTTATTGGTTTCTAAAAACCGTTATATATTGAATTATGAACGTTTTACTAAATATATAGATAGTCTCCAAATTATAGTTTTGAACTTTATGGTAGTGTGAAATTGACATGCATTGAGTTGAAACCATACTTGGAATTTTGCTCTTTTCCTGGAAGGCAATGTATGGTGCGATACTCTCAACTGCCAGTCAACCCTATGATCAAGTGGTAAACAACTGATTTTATAGTGCACTGTGTTGCTTAGTATGATATATGGTACATTTTCAATTTAGGGTACATTCAATTTATATATTTGGATATTGTAAATGTATTTGTTGGTTTATTGGAATATACTCATTGTAAATCAAGGAGTATCTGTAATGTAATCCTAGGCTGTCATTTAAACTTACTTTTTTTTTTTTTACTTTTTGAGACAGGGTCTCACTGTATAGTTCAGGATGCCCCTGAACTCACTATGTAACCCAGGCTGGCCTCAAACTTGTGACAATCCTCCTGCCTCAGCCTCCCAAGAGCTGGAATTACCGGCATGTACCACCATGCCCAGCTTAAACTTACTTTTTAAAAACCAGGTGTAGTGGCATATACCTGTAATCCCAGCACTCTGGGAAGCTGAGGCAGGAGGATTACAAGTTCAAACCCAGCCTGGGCAATTTAGCAGAACCCTCTCCCCACCATTGTCTCAAAATATAGAAAGGGCTGGGAATGTCGTTCAGTGTGAAAGCCTTGGGTTCAATCCCCAAAACCAACCCTCCCCCAAACCAAACAAACACAAACTTGTTTTGTAGGGGTATTTTTGTGAGTTACTAAGCTAATGCCCTGCAGGCTCAAACACTGCATTCTACACTGCTCTCCAGTGCTGGGACTGAAACTGCAAAAGTAATTATCCTTGGTCAGCTGGCGAAGGCAGGAGAAGGAGTGAGGAGGGAGCAGCTTCTTCCTGTTTTGCTTGATGCTCCTGTCGGTGCTCACTGAGCGTGGACTCCTTACCGCGAAGGCAGCACTGGCGCCAATTTCCAGCTCCTTGTAGCCACCGCAGAATGAGTCTCACTGCAGCTCGTGGAGGTAGCAGTCCGGTCGTGCCTGAGGTAGGCAGAATAATGGCCTCCCAAGGGTTTCAGCCTCCTACTCCCTGGAGCCAGCGGAAGGTGCTATTTTACACTCCGTAAGAGACTTTGCAGTCAGGGGATTTAGCTCAGTGGTGCAGCACCTGCCTGACAAGCGTGAGGTCGTCAGTTAGATTTCCGGTACCAAAAATAAATAAATAAAAGAAGAGAGACATTGCAGATGTGCCTAAGGTGAGATGGCTATCCTGGCTAGTCTGGCTGAGGCCAAGGTCATCACAAGGGTCCTGAAACAGGGACAAGAAGGGCAAAAGAGCCAGTGAAGACAGTGACATGCACAATGCGCAAAGGACTGGGCTGGCTTTGAAGATGGAAGTAGGAGCTATAGACCAGCACCCGTGGGGGCCGCCAGAGAGTGGGAAAAGCAAGAAAACAGATTTACCCTGAGTTTCCGGAAAGGAACACAACCCTGGCACTTGCTCGATTTTTAGCTCAGTGGATTAAACCAAGAAGGGCTGCTGAGGTGCTTAAGAACAGGAGTGCCCCTAGAGCGTGGGGCTCCAGTTAGTGCTGCCATTTACTAGCCGGCTTGGGGGACAACATAGCCCCTCTCTGAACCTCGGTTTCCTCACCCACTGTGTGCTGGGCGTCACCCACTCTCATCACTGCAGGGCTTGAGGCAGAGAAACGGAACAATCCGATTTGTGCTGCAGAAGGATCACTCAGGCTGCAGTATGAAAAACATGTGGCTCTTTCTTATCTACATTTATTAAAATTTTACTAACCTTTTGAGGCCTTGTTAAATGTTTCCCTATTTTGCAAGTTCTCTCCTCACGCAGACTAACCTCTTAGTCCAAATTCTTCTGTACATGGTGTTCCCCATAAAGCAGAGAGCTGCACAGACCACAAACCCCTTGACATTGGGAATCACGTTTTTCATCCCTGCTGCATGGGGCTAGGTCTACACAAGGACATAAACTCACAGAGAATTATCCTCTGCGCTAAAAAACCATTTGAGTGGGACAGAGGAAGGAATAAATGAGTCACTCGATACTCATTTGGGACTCAAGCCTTCTTTTGATAGCGGAGTTTATCTATAAGCCTCGAGATGTGTATGATTAAGCACTGCAGGATGTATTTTCCAAGGCTCTGAAAGGTCCTGAGCTGCCTGGAGTGCTGATGTTGGATGGAGCTGTCTGGGAAACAGGCCCTATTGTCGTGAGGCTTTAATCATACCCTGCAACTCTAAAGCCTGTGAGCTTCCTTTTCACCTTGCACAACACACTGACGGCTTTGCCCTCGCTGAACTGTGGATAAGTGAGAATGAGTGATAGTGACCTGCTTTTTCTTTTCTTTTTAAAAGTTTTGGCTGTTAAATATATCCTTCCTTAGCTCTTTGCAAGTCTGTACTATGAAAATAAAAAGCTTTTATGGAGCACTTATTCCACAGTTTGAAGATCTATTCTCCTGTTTTGTAATTTTAAAAACTTATAGGGAAAACCCCCAAACATTCATTATCATCTAAGGAAAGACTGGAAAATGCCTGTGACTTTCTATAGAGTCTAACTAAGAAGAGTGGGCCCACGTAACCCAGAGATTTCCCAAACAGTTTACTGAAGAATTTTACTGGGCATTAGGTAACAAACTATTCACAGAGATTATCTCTGGGAGTCCAGAGAGGATAGTGTTTGAGAAAGAATACAGGAGAACTTTCTATGTATGGACATAGGCATTCCTTATAATCAGCTAAGAGACACGTACAAGAATGTATTTGTTAAAGCAAAGACTAATTCTAGCAGCACAATATGATGATCAGTACGCCTATGAGAGTACAAACAGGTCACCTTGAAGTGGACTTGGCCCCTGCTGTGGTCACAGGTTCTGCTGCTTTCATCTCCCTGCCTGGCGGAATGTGACCTCCAATAGAGGAGAAATAGATGGCAGGAAAACATGTTCTGTTCTCCAAAGCATTTGAATGGGAAAATGTAGGAGAGGCAGGAATAAAATTGTGGAATGAGAAAGATACTAAGGAAGCTATACAATAAAAAGTAGCTAACCTGAACCACATTCTAAACTTGGGTGTTTTATTTGAAGCTACACACCAAATAATCAGTGAAGAGAGGTGAATCAGAAGGATGATAGATTTATTGAAGAAGGAAGACACACCCCGGGTGTGGATGGCACAAACCAATAGGCTGGGAGCCCGGATGGAATAAAAAAGGGAAATAAGAAGGAAGTTGCTCCGCTCACCTGCCTTGCCATGAACTGTTTCTCTCTGGCTATGTCCTTTGCCATGCCTCCCTTCCCTGCCTTGAAGCCAGCTGACTACAGACTGAAACCTGTACAAACTGTGAGGCAAAATAAATTCTTCCTCTTTTAACTTGTGAGCGCTGGGTGTTTCATCCTAGCAACAAGAATGTAAGATATTTGCACTTTAAATATTATTCTGAGTACCTTTTAATATGCTTCGTAGTCATTTTAATATCTTTTCTGTGAAATGCTTTTTCAAATATTTTACGCTTTTAAAAATTGAGTATCCTGGGGCTGGGGATTTAGCTCAGTGGCATAAGCACCAGCCTGGCAAACGCAAGGTCCTGAGTTCAATTCCTGGTACTGGAAGGAAAAAAAAAAAATTGAATGTCTTTTTTGTTTGTTTGTTTGTTTTTCTTCCAGTACCAGGAATCGAACTCAAGACCTTGCACTTTCCAGGCAGGTGCTTTTGCTGCTGAGCTAAATCCCCAGCCCCCAAAACTGAATATCTTAATAAAGCAAAAACTTAAAAATTTCATAACCTTGCAGAGGATATAGCTTAGTGGCGCAGCACCTGCCTGGCAAGTGCAAGGTTGTGAGTTTGATTCCTGGTACAAAAAAAAAAAAAAATTTATAACCTTTGCTCATTGATTTGTAGGGATTTTTTCTATATTTTGTGTATGGATTCTTTGTCAGTCCATAGCTGGCATACTTTCTTAATAGTATTTTTTATAATCAAATGTTCTTAATTTTAACTAGGTCCAATTTATCAATTTTCTTTTGCAGTTTAGTTAATTTTGTGATAAAATTAAACTATTTTTACCTACTCCAACCCAATATCGTGAAAATATTTGCCTATTTTTTATTTGGATGTTTAATTGTTTTAGTTTTTGAATATAGGTCCTGAACACACTTAAAAACAATTTTTTTGTGTAGTTTAAATTAAGGATCAGGGTTTCTGATTTTCCCTATTCATACCATTGTTCCAGCAGTATGTATCAAACTACTATCTCTCCCTAGGTAATTACAAAGGCATCTTTGATGTAAATCAAGAAGTCTGTGATTTTGATTTCCCTGGTTTCAGTTCTCTGCACTCAGCTTCAGTCTAAAAATATTAAACGTAAGATTCTAGACATAAACAATAAGTTTTCAATTAATAATGTTTAATATCATTCTGAGTAGTGGCGTGAAATCTTGCACCATCCCATTCCATCTTGTGCAGAACACGAATCATCCCTTTGTCCAGTGTATCAATGTTGTATACTCTCCAATCCATTAGCAGCTGTCTCAGCAGACCACTGTTGCACTGTCAAAGTACTTGTGTTAATAACAGCCTCAAAGCAGAAGAGGGATGGTGCAAAGAAGGTACCAGAGCATAAAGATGGAATGACAGATGTGGCAATATTGTAGGGCATACAGGAAAAAAAACAGTACTGATGCTCCTTGATTCACAATGGGGTTATGCCCTTATAAAACCATCGAAGGTAAAAGTAAAAAACGTATTTAATACACCTAACCTACCAAACAGCGTAGCTTAATACATAGTATACTGCATAGTATCATTGTTTATCCTTGTGATTATGTGGCTGGCTGGGAGCTGGGGTTCAGTTCTAATGCCTAGCATTCAGAGACACAGTGCTGTCATGCAATCTCTATTCCAGGAAAAGGTTAAAATTTAAGCTATGATTTCTACTGAACGCATATTATTTTGCACTATCGTATAAGCAAAATGTTGTAGGCTGAACCACCATTAACTTGGGGACTATATCAGATTGAGGACTATATCAGATTGAGGACTATCTACAGTTTCAGACATTCATTGGGGGTCTTGGAACATATCTCTTGGGAATGGTATGGGATAACTGTACTTGAAGATGTAGTGCTAGACAATTTCTTCTGTTCCAGTGTTCTGTTTGTCTATCCTAGCTTCAGAAGTACTCTATTTTTTTTTTTTTTGAGACGGGGTGTTGCTGTATAGTTCAGACTAGCTATGTAGCCCAAGCTGGCCTAGAACTCACAGTGATCCTCCTGCCTCAGCCTCACAAGTGCTGGGATTACAGGCATGTGCCACCATGTGCACCAGACTTTCATTTTAATTTTTTTTGCAAAGTACTTTATTTTAATTTTTAACTTTATAATAAACCTTGATGTCTTGTTAAGATTTATTTTTTGTATTTTACTTCCTTTGTATACCCATAATGTACTCTGGCTTAGTCACTGTTAAAAATATAAAGGTGCCAGGTATTGTGGTACACACTTGTAACCCCAACAATCTGAGAGGCTGAGGCAGACAGATTATAAGTTTGATTCTAGCCTGGGCAACTTAGTGACTTAATGAGATATTCTCTCAAAATAAAATTTAGAAAGGGCTGGGGGTATAGCTCAGTGCAAAGGGCTTAGGTCTAATCCTTAATACTAAGAAAAAAAAAAAAGATATCAAGATGTCTGGAGACTAAAAGATTTGAAAGCTGCTGATTTCTCAAAAAGAAGCCCAGGGTCAAATATCAGTTCCAACCACTTATTAGCTGAATGAGGCTGGGGATTTAGCTCAGTGGCAAAGCGCCTGCCTGGCAAGCGCAAGGTCATGAGTTCGGTTCCTGGTACCGGAGAAAAACCAAAAAAAAAAAAAAAAAGAGATGTAGCTGAATGACCTTGGCAAATAATTTAAATTTCTATGGCTCCATTTCCTCATCTCTAAATTGGGACAATAATAGCCCCAATAATTTAAGAGGGCTGTACTTGTCAAATATTAAGTATTATAAAAATGTTTCTGTATTTATTAAATAAGGTAGGCATATATATTTTAAAATAATATTAAGTCAAAGAACACAAAATTTAAAGAATTGGACAGGAAACACTGAAGCTTTTGACAATCTCAGGATACCCAGAATCCAGTGTATCAGCTTCATTTAAACATAAAAACATACCAAGTAATAAATATAAAAAATCCATTGTATTTCTCTATACTAGCAATGAATTACTGAAAGTTGAAATTTAAAAAAAATCACATTTACAAGGCATCAATCAACATGAAATATCTAGAGATTAATTAAATAGAACATGTGTAAAACCTGCATAATGAAAACCACAAAATATTGCTGAGAGAAATTAAAGATGATTTAAATACACAGGTGGATACTCCAAGTTCATAGATTAAAAGACTCTGTAACTGTTAAGACATTAATTCTTCCCAATTGATCTAGAGATCCAATGAAAACCCAGTCAACACCCCCGAATCCCAGCAGATGATTTTGTACAGATTGACAAGTTGATTCGAAAATTAGTATGGAAAGCAAAGAACCCAGAAAAACCAAAACAATCTAAAAAAAAAAAAAAAAAAAAGAATGAAATCGGAGAAACCAAACTACCATATTTTTAGGACTTAGGATAAAGTTATGGTAATTAAGATTAGAAAAAGCATAAAGATACACATATGGATTAATGGAACTGGATCTAAAAGCCAGAAACAGACTCAGTTCCTCAAAAGTATGGACTTCAGCACTATGCTCTGTTTCTGTTTAAGCATCCATTGGGGGGTGGTCATAGAAAAATGTGTTAAATGAGAGTTGTAAGTCGCACATGCAAAGCTCATTAGTTTTCTACAAAGGTGGCGGTGTAATTCAATGGGACTCCTGCATGGTGGCACACGTCTGTAATCCCAGCACTCTGGAGGCTGAGGCAGGAGGATCTTTACAAGTTCAAGACCAGCCTGGGCTACAAAGTGAGCTCAAGGTCAGCCTGAATTGCATAGGGAGACCCTGTCTCAAAAAGACAAAAAAAAAGAAAAAAAAAATTCAGTGGGAGAAAGGAAAGTCTTTTGAATAAATGGTGCTAGAACAACAGGCTATCCAATAGGTGTGAAAATAAACCTCAACCCTTAACTTATATCCTAGACAAAAATTAATTTAACATGGGTCACTGAGCAAAATATGAGTGCTAAAAGTGTAATTACTTATAAGCTGTTATGATTTGGGTCTAGAATGTTCCCCTCAAACTTCATGTGTTCAAAGACGGGGCTTCTGGAAGGCGATTGGGTCCTGGCGGCTCTAGGTGATTTGCTGTCGGGAGGCAGGGCCAGGTTGGAAGAGGTGTGTCCCTGGGGGCATGACCCGGAGGGAATCTCTCCCTCCCAGGCTCCTCCCCTCTCCCTGCTTCTGGATCACCAGGACATGAGCAGTTTTCCTCTGCCCAGGCTCTTGCACCTTGCTGCCTACCATGCGAGGACTGCAACTTCTCAAACGGGAGCCAGAATAAACCTTTCCTCCATTGAATTGTGGGTGTAGGGTAATGTGTCTCAGCGACGAGGAAAGCGATTAAGACAGAAGGGAAACCGATTTTCTGACCTTGAGTTAGGCAAAGACTTCTCAGGAGAGAAAACAATGACCATCAAGCTAGGAATGTAGGTACAATGCTTGCCTAGTATGTTCAAGGTCCTACGTTCAATCCCCAATACTGCAAAAACAAAACAAAATGTTAGCCGGTAACAACATTAGTAAATTGGACTTCCTCAAAATTAGAAACTGTGCATCAAAAGACCCTCAAGAAAATGAAAATATAAGCCACAGACTGGGAAATAATAGTTGTAAAACACATTTAGAATCAAGTTCTTGTATCCAGAACATGTAAAGAACGCCTAAAGTTCCATGATAAAATAAATACCCCAAATAACAAATGGATAAGAAATCTGAACATATACCTTGCAAAAAAAGAATAAGAAACATGAAAAGATGCTCAACTTTACTATTCACTAGGCAAATACCAATTAAAACTACAGGAACGTATCACTATACACTTAGTAGATGGCTAAAATTAAAAAATATTGACAACGCTAAATAGAGGTAAGGATGAATGACAACTGAAAATCTGATATATTGCTAATAATAATATAAAATGGTAAGACCATTTGGAAAAAAATTAGGAATCTCATATATATACTCTTCCATATAATGCAGCAATCTTACTTTTAAGTATATATCTAAGAAAAATGAAAACATACCCACTTAGCACCTAAAAGTGAATTTTCACATTTAATTCATGATACCCCTAAGCTGGAAACAACTCACACGTCTTAGTTACTTTCTCATCACTAGGACAAAATACCTGATACCCACAAGTTAAAGGAGAAAAGGCTTATTTTAGCTCACAGTTCATAGATGTTTCAGTCCACCGTCAGCAGACTCTAATGCAGGAAAGCATGCAGAGGGACATGGGAGAAGAGAAACAGTTCATGGCATGGTAGGCAGCCAGCGGAGTGACTTCCTTCTCTCTCTTTTTATTCCATCTAAGCTACAAGCCTACTGACTGGTGCCATCCACGCCCAAGGCTGGGTCTTCCCTTTTTTGGTAAATCCATCACCCGTACCCAGAACTATGCTAAACCAATCAGTGAACTAACCCAGTAACACACACCCACTACCCAGTATCACACACCCATGATCCAGTCACTTCCCAAAAGCCCCACCTACATGTGCATGAGGCTGGAGGGGGGATCTAGATATAAGCCATAACATCAAACAAATTGTGGCACATGTGTACAATAGGATACTATTCAACAATGAAGGAACAAACTACTGAAACATGTAACAACATGAATGCTTCTCAAAAAACAATGTATTGAGTTAAAAAAGGAGGACACAAAAGAATTCATATCCTATAACTCCATTTATACGATGTACTGAAAAGGAAAAAAAAATATTGTGTCATAAAACAGATCAGAGGCTTCCAGGAACTGGAGGTGGAGAAAAAAGAATTGACCATAAAGGAATGGAAATTTTTTTCTTTTTGAGACAAGGTTTCACTACGAGTTCAGGCTGGCCTTGAACTCACTTTGTAGTCCAGGTTAGCCTTGAACTCACAGCAATCCTCCTGCCTCAGCCTCCCGAGTGCTGGGATTACAGGCATGCGCCCAGCAAGAAATGGAATTTTTAAGTGTGATAGAAATGTTCTATGTTATGATGTGACAGAAGTTACATAAATATATCAATTTGTCAAAACTAACATAGCTATGTATTTATAATGGGTACATTTTATAAATACCTCAATAGACCCGACTTGTAAAAACTAAATCCAAGATATTTCTCTTGAGGGCCCACACTCTATTTTCTTTGAGTGTATACTTTAAATTCTGCCTAATAAACCTCTTTATGCTTCTCAAACTAACTTCAAAAATCAGAGATAGCCATTACCTTACAAAGTTACTCTCTTTAAGTATGGCCTCATATAGAATGCAGAAGAATAAGATTTATACTAGTCCTTGCTTTATGTAGTTTCACTTTCAATGGTCAACTGTGGTTTGAAACTATTAAGTGGAAAATTCCAGAAATAAACAACTCATAAGTTGTAAGTTGCACATCATTCTGAGCAGTGTGATGAAATCTTGCACCATCTGCTCCATTTTTCTGGGGACATGAATCATCCCTTTGTCCAGAGTTACCCCTGTTTTATGTGCTACCCATGTCTTAATCACTTAATAGGCATCTTATTTATCAGATTAACTTGTCATATCATAGTGGCTTATGTTTTTGTTGCATAGTGCTTCTGTTTAAGTGATCCTTATGTTACTTAATAGCCTCAAAGCATAGCAGTAATACCAGCAATTTGGATATGACAAAGATATGCCATAAAGTGATTACCTTCAGCACAAAGATAGGAGTTCTTGACTTCAAAAGTAAAGGAGAAAATCATATGTTGATAATTGCTAAGCTCTATATAGTAAGTCTGACTCTTCTATCTGTAAAAATTGTGAAGACAGGAAAATAAATTCATTTTAGTTTTGCTATTACAAAAGTAATGACTATAATGCATGATAATTTCCCCATCAGGTCAACCTTGAACCTAAACATTGAATTTGATTAGGTTCTCATCCAACTCAGTTTGTGACCCAAATTGGGGAAAGAATCACGTTTGCGAACTGAGGTACCACTGTATTTAGTTAAGATGGAAAATGCATTAAATTATGAGATTCACCTGGGGAGGCAGCTCAGCGATAGGGCACTTGTCCAGCATGCGTGGGGCTCTTGGTTCAGTCCTCATTAGCGAGGGGAAAAAAAGTATAGGCTTCAGCACTACGCACTGTTTCTGTTTAAGCATCCACTGGGGGGTCATAGAAAAATGTGTTAAATGAGAGAAATTAGAAGCAACAAGAAAAAAAAGGAATACTGCCTATATATATATATATGATTTTTATCACTTAGATTTAGAGGGCTGGAGAGGTCTATGCTAAGGTTGCAGCCCAAGGCATGAACTTCTTTTTACCTCTGAATCCCTGCAAATGCCTTAGTGCTTAGCAAATGATAGGAATTCACTGAAGTTTGTTAGAAATGAATTTATGCTCTAAGTACCGAAAGACATGTGGCCTAATTATTGCAGTGGGTTTGGCAGAGGGGCTAACTCAACATGAATGGTTTGAACTGTGGGTCAATTGTACCCAAGATTCAGTAATTTATTAGAAGGATTCATAGGATTTGGAAAAAGCTGTTGTACTCAGTTATGGTTTATTATAACAAAAGGAATACAAATTAGAATCATCAAGGGGAAAAGATACACAGGGTAAAACCCAGGAGAAATCAGACACAAGCCTCTCCTTGTCCTCTGTTCATCTCGCAGATAGTACTTAATTTCTCAGCAATGATATGCAAAGTGCCCCTACCCAGGGAAGCTCACTTGAGCCTCAGTGTCCAGTATTTTTACTAGAGGTCAAACACATGGGCATGTACCTTCTCTATAAATTACCTTAGTTATTTTCAGCCACATAGAAGTCAAAAATAGGTCTTTGCTCTAAATCACAGTTTGCATAATCTATAAGGCCAAACTGAGAAAATGTAGCTCAAGGCCTCTGGTATACAAACACACTTACCAGATAAGATATGCCCAGCTATGAAGCTGACTCAAAGTCAGACAAGACAGAAACCAGTGCTTTGGAAGTTCCCCCAGAAAGCCGGAACATTGGACATATAGTCCACTCTTCTCTTTCCCTCCCAAAAGAACAGCCAAGCACTGGGCATCTTTTTCTGATCACACTAAGCTGGCCTAAGTCCTTAGGTGGAGAGGTATCACATACAAAACCCATAGCTTCTTGGTTTCAGTGCAGTAGTTCTTGTCTTTACACTTACTTGCCTGGTTACTGTGACTTTCTAACTGGTTTGGAGTTCCCTTAGATTTTTGAACTATATATTGTGGTTGAGTCGGTGTCTCCATATGGGAATAAACTCTATGGCTTCCTTTTCCACCAGCTTGTGGCCTCACTCTAGATTCTTAAAACTTTTTGAGTGGTGGGATGTTTGATAATCTCATGAAAGCTGTGAAACTTTTACCTGGAAAAAATGCATGCACGTAAAATATAAGATATAAATTTTGGGAGTGTTATACACCCTCATATACACAGATAAATATATACCTATTCATATATCCTGTCTTTAAAATCTGGATGTATTCTATTTAATTAAAAATTAATTCATCAAGTTTGGGTCACTCAAAACTTGCTCATCAACCGCTCTGACTTTGAGTGCAGAGAGATACCTCTTGGATCCCTCTGCAGACCTTGGATAACGGAGAACAAAGGAGAGTCTAGGTCTGTGATGGCAAACCTTCCAGAGACCGAGTGCCAAACAGCAACCCAAAACCCACTTATTTATTGCAAAGTGCCAACACTGTAATTAAACCTGAACGCTGAGGTTTTCACTTAGAAAAAATAGCTCATACATTAACATCTTTTGTCTTAAAAGAAAAACACAGTATCAGCTTTCAAATGATACAAACGGCAAGTATTGAAAGGTAAAAGTTTGCATTTGGTGTGCTTTTGCATAATTAATGTGATCTTTGCTGTTGTATGCATGCTGATAGTTTGTCAAACCTTAGCTTATACTTGGCATTCGCTTGAGAGAAATACACAGATCAAGTCATCTGTTAGTCTGTTTCTTGTATCAGAATTGATATAATTCACAGCAGAAAACAGCCGCTCACGAGCATAAGATGATCCAAACAAAGTAAGGAAAGCAGTACCAAGTGCTTTCATTGACTTAAAATTATTTGGCAGAGAATTCCAAACTTTAAGGATTTTCAGAACTACTAACTATGCTGTAAAAAAAAAAAAAAAAAAGAAAGAAAGAATAAAAGGAAATAACTGAAAAGGGGGCTGGGGATTTAGTTCAGTGGTACAGCACCTGCCTGGCAAGTGCAAGGTCATGAGTTTGATTCCTGGTACTGGAGAAAAACAAAACAAAACAAAACAAAACAAAAGAATAACTGTGCTGTCCTTTGTCATCCTTTCACACTCTATCATCTCTACTTTCACAAGCGTTGCCTGTAAGTGATAGAATTCATTTTTCCAGATAGAGCTTTCTTAAAATTCCAATAGCTCCCATTTCCAGATTTCCAAAACCTAACAAAGGTAAGCAGAAAAGATCAAGTTCTTAAAATTTGGCTGGAGAAATAACACAGGGTTGTTTCCACCTTACCAAACTGCAAAAATCTGTTACTAAATTCTCTTCTGCAGCTGCTACAATGCTAGAAAATTCCTTGTAGATTTCCTGATGGCTTGTCTGCAAATGTTGCATACTTTTCTACATGCATTTTTAGATTTGGGAAATATTTCAGCTGCCTGCTTTCAAGATCGGGGTGCCTTGGCTCACATGCCAACAGGGAGGGTTCTGCATGCCTGCTGTGGCACATGTATCACAGGTTTGCCATCACTAGCCCAGGTGGTGGTTTTGGGAAGACCAGAGAACCTGCAGTATTACAGACAAATGCCAGGGAGGATAGAAAATTAAGAGTACCTGAAAAAACTTTCTAACTGGAAAATTGCATGTATAAGCTCAGAGAAATGCACCCCAGAAAAGATTTGGGAGGCCCACACTATCTTTAATTTGGTTCATTGGTGAAGGTCTGTAAATACCAGAAGAAGTGTTTGTTTTTTCAAATGCCCATATCCCAGCAGAAAATGAGAAGGCTGATGAAGAACCAGGAAAATGTGGCTCAAAGGACTCAAAACTCCAGAAATGGATCCTAAAGAAACAGAGATCCATTTAGTCACCTGACAAAAAATTGAAAAGAATTATCTTAAAGGAGCTCAAACAAGCTATAAGAGGACAAAGACAACTAAAGGAAACTAGAATAACAGTGCGTGAATAAAATGGCAATATTAACATAGACATAGAAACTATAAAAAAGGATCAAACAGAAATTTTAGCATGGAAGACTATGATAACTAAAGTGAAAATTTTACTAGAGGAGTTTAATAGCAGATTTTATTAAGCAGAAGACTCAGTAAATTCAAAGACAAGTAATTTAAAATGATCAAGACAGAGGAACAAAAAAGAAAAATGAATGGATAAAAGTGAAGAAACCTTAAGAGAATTATAGAAAACTATCAAACAGATGAATACATGGGTTATGGAACTCCTGGAGGGAAAAGAGAAATAAATAATGGCCTAAACTTTCCAAATCTGAAAAGAAAAATGGACATTCAAATTGAAGAAGGCCCAAAGGACTTCAAGTAAATCTGTACCAGAGTTGTCATAATCAAGCAAAAGGGAAAGTGTGCACACCTGTAATCCCAGCATTCGGGAGGCTGAGGCAGGAGGATGGCTGAGTTGGAGGCCAGCCTAGGCTACATAGTGAGTTCAAGGACAACCTGGGCTATATAGCAAGAGTCTGCCTCAAAAAACAAAAGCAAAATCAAGACAAAAGTGAAAGTCAAGGAAAGAATGTTGAAAGCAACAAGAAAAAAGCAACTCATCACATACAAAGTTCTGTAAGAGTATCAGTGGCTTTCTCAATAGAAAAATTACAGACCAGCCGGGGATATAGCTCAGCAGCACAGCGCCTGCCTGGCAAGCGCAAGGTCGTGAGTTTGATTCCTGGTACAAAAAAAAAAAAAAAAGAAAGAAAGAAAAATTACAGACCAAAAAGGAATGCATGATGTGAGGACTTCATCAGAATTAAAACCTTTGGGGCTGGGAGTGTAGCTCAGTGATCAGTGCTTGCCTAGCATACCAAGCCCTGAGTTTGATCCTCAGCGCTACAAAAACAAAGAAGCAAATGAATAAAAATATTTATGCTTCAAAGTGAGGTAGGGGGCTGGGGATTTAGCTCAGCGGCAAAGCGCTTGCCTGGCAAGCGCAAGGTCGTGAGTTCGGTTCCTGGTACCGGAGAAAAACCAAAAAAAAAAAAAATAAAAAAATAAAAAAAAAATAAAAACAAAGTGAGGTAGGGCAGAAGAAGTAACAGGTATGTAGAAACGAGACAAGGAAAATCGTATCTTAAAATTGTACTTTTAGGAAGTCTGCAGCTTCTGAGACTCAGCCACAATTATCCAAAGTGATCCATATCAGCTTTCCTTCCTTAAATTATAGGCTCCAGACCCACTACACTCAAAATTCCTCAGGAATACTGAAAGTCTGTAAATTGGCTTAATTGAGAAAGTAAAGTGCAGGAATCTGATCCTAAGATAAAGTGACAGGTTGAGAGAATCCAAAAAATGTTGAAATTCCCTATTTAAAAAAAAACAAACAACAAACCAACTGTGACCATATCTGAAAAATGGGCTAGTACCCTTCTCAGGGGCTGGGCCACCTTTTCCCAGTGTTTCTACCCCTTCAAGAGAAGGATAAATGCTCCTTCTCCCAGGAAATAATGTGCCTCTCTCTTGGGGGCTTACACCATACTTCTTTAAGTATGTACTAAAATTTCTGCCTAAAAAACCATTCCTCTACTGATGTGTCCCAAAAATTGTTTTTCTATGACTGCAGTCAGCAAACCTGTGAGCCCATTCTATGTTTAGTGTGGGTTAGGTCTACTATCTCAGCTTCAAGTATCTCCTCGGACCCTGTCCAGTGACATTTTCTGGTGACAAAAGGATACCATCAAGAAAGTGAAGACAACCCACAGGATGGGAGGAAATATTTGAAAACCATGTATCTGATAAGACCCTTGTGTCCAGAATTTATAAAAAAACTCTTACAATGCAACAAGAAAAAGATAAACCACCCAGTTTAAAAGTGCTTTTCAGTTTGGTAGTTCCTAAAAAAGTTAAACAAAGAGTTACCATATGATCCAGCAAGTCTACTCCTAGTATAAATCCAAAAGAAATGAAG